GGGGGAGGGGTGTGTACGTTATTAATTTGTTTGGTTGGGTTTTTTTTTTCAAAATCGGCATTTTGTGATTGTTTCTTGTTAATCCTGAACCAGACACGATAGATTACGTTATAAAAAGCAACTACCACACAGTCACAAAAAGGGAAACAGTATCTCTGCCTTCACGACAGTCCTCTTTTTAAAAAGACTTCAACATAAGTTAAGGACCACCTTGACAGACAGCCCTGATTTTTTAAAATCCATAAAAAGACAACAAGGAATGTTACAAAATGTTAAAACTCTGAAAGTGTTAATGGGCTACCAATGCGAACTGCAAAGCTTCCTAAAGGGGCAAAATCACCGCGTGGAGCGCGGAAATCCTCGGGGAATTTTAGCCAAATTTGCAAGTGGTCCTTTACTTACGTTGAAGTCTGTAGTTACGTGATCCATACTCACAATGAGACGACAATGCGCTCGACATCTAAAAAAAAATGAATGTTCCGTATAAGTGTAATAGTCTGTGCTTGGAAGTTGAAATCTCTGAAGGGTCTGTTGGTATCATGCTGGACACCGATGTAGGTGAATCTGGTTTGAATTCTCAAAGGGCATCTCTTCACTGTTGCCACCGATTACCACTATAGTAGCCTAACAGCCACCCACCGTCACCGCTCGTACAAAAACAAGAATAAAACAAAATTTAACACAAAAAACAAACAAAACAAAAGCAAAAACAAAAACATTAAGAGCATTCAGTCAATGAACTTCTTTTCGCCTCAAGCAAACAAAACAACCGATCAGGATTTGCTTAAATGTGGACGTAATTTTGTTTACCCTCGTGGTAAACTTTTTAAAAATAGATTTTTGTATTAAAACCTGAACACTCCCGACATTATCATGGGGAAACACCTTTAAACTTACATGTGTGTGTCTTGAAATGTGTTACACTTGTATAAAAACAAAAACAGAAACAAACAAACAAACAAACAAAACACCAAAAAACAAAAACAAAATCCCGGATACAGTAAATGAAAACAAAACATTAGTGCATGCCGGTCAAAGAACTCCC